CAATCTACTGTGGCCGTGGAAGAATATTATCTAGATTTCTAATAGATTTTTAGTATGTAACAAAAAGTCCCAATAAAAAAAAACAAGGATTTTAAGAGTTACATGATTCTAAGCCAGGCTTACCTTAGAAAGGCCCGACTGATGTGGCTGGAAGAATAATCTGTTCATATTGGCAAGTTCAACCTTGTCGTAATCAAATAAAAGCAACTGAAACAAAACAATTGGAGCCTGTTAACAAATTGTGGACTAACACTAAAACATGACTAAAATGTTAACACATAATATTGCTTGATTTACGTTGGGAAGAATTAAAATTTAAAATTTGTTTAAACACTTTTAGTTTTGTATAAATCCGCTAATTTTAAAAAAGACAATTAGAAACAAGATGTCAAGATTATTTACAAGGAAGAATGTATTTTAAGGTAGAAATTATTATTACTTGGATGCATAATGATTTTAGATCACTTTACCGTGTCCCAATTTTTTCCTTTAGTTTTGGTTTTGACAAAGTATAGCAAAGTAAATTAACACATTGTGTTATAGATCTCAACCTCAACTCACCTTGATCATTGGGCATTAATCAAAAAGTTCTTAGCCTATGTAAAGAATTTTTCAGTAAAATAAATGGCATCAGCAATCCTGTCACATACTTTCTCCCATTGGCTTCTCAACAATTTTAATCGAAATCAGTCAAGCTGTTTTTTGAAAAATCTGATTTTTAAATTTTAGGCTAGTATGAGTTTTTATGGAAAAATCATGTAATTTACAATAACCTTAGATTTTAATTTTACACTACAGCGATGGAGGTTGTAGTCTACAGTTTTGTTAAAAGGGCTAAATTTTAATCAAAATCATTTGGGGAATTTTTGAGAAAATTTGTTTCTCCATTAGGCTATTTTATAGATGTTTATGGGGGAAATCACACTTAAAAATCTAAAAAACAAAAAACTTTAAAAAAACACCTTTGAATACCATGAATTAGTTCCTACATACCACATTCCTTAAAAATCGGACAGCAAGTCTCGTACACATCCACACACACAAACATCACTTCGAAAATCACTTTTTTTAGATCAAGGGGGCCCAAAACGGATATATTATACACCCAAAACTCAAACTTGAAAATGATTAAAACAATACTTTCTCCATATATTTACTATGTACCTTAGGCCTACTGTGTATAGGGGGAGAAAATAAAAAAAGATTCATGTAATTTAACTTCATTCTAAATTCGACCAGCATTCAAATTATAATTAAAATACATTTACAAAGAAATTTGCTTTTTTAAGTATAATTAAGTTATTATTTTATGACTAGGCTATAGAATCTTTAAATATTTTTTGACCAAACATTTTTACTATGGAAATTTACGAGTACTATGGAAGCACACATAAAAGTAATGAGAACATCAATATAAATAATATTGTTTATTATGATATTGCAGAATAGTACTTGCGAAGGGAAGTGGTTTATGTCACTCTTTGAGGAAGACCAACACAAAAAAGTAGAGCATAAAATTTATACTTGAAACGACCTGAGTCATTTTAAATTAGACAAAACAATCAACAACAAAGGTATAAGATAGCAAAAGTACTGTAGGGATGATTAAATTTTACAGAATTAGAGACAAGTCCAATTTCAGAGAGAAGTCACTCCAAAGTACTTAAAGGATATTGCAATATTAAGAGATAGTGAAAATCCTTTGTTAAAACAAACGTTTATCAGCTAGAAACACTTTTGATCAAACGAGAAAACAATTGCAATTTCATTTCTCAATTATTCTTTTATTGGAAGTGTCAAAAACAATCTCTCAAGTTGGTTGTTTAAGACACTTAATAGCTTTCTATCATCTTGATAAAACTATCTCAAAGATGACCTGTCATAATGTTACTATTAGTGCCACTTGTTTTTAGAACATTAATTTCACGCAATAACAGAGTGGGATTAAGTAATGGGAATATCTAAGAATAGAATAAAGTTTGTGCCTAGCAATTATTTTTCTTGGTGGATAATTACGCCGGATTAGCCTATAACCTATTAAAAAATACAAGATAAAATAACAATATTTAATAGCCTATTGTTATTTATCTAAAGGAAACATGTTATCCATTCATGCTGTAATTGGAATAAATATATTATTCTATTCTTTTATTCATTCACTGTAACGCCATTATCTATATCAATAGGTAGGCTACTCTGTCAGAAGCCAATTGGGAGGCGGAGGTAGAGGCTAACGCATACCAATAGTGGTGTGGTGTCCGTAATTTCGGTTGGCCACAAGGCCGGTGCGCACTATCCCGACCACGACTCAAACGGATACGGCCCGTTTTATAGTAGGCGAAAATGGAATAGCGCGCACTGGTCGACTGGTCGGATCCTGGTCGCACAACCAAAGTCTATGCAGTTTGGTCGGGCCCAACTCGCTGGCTGCTACAGCCAGAAATAGCATACAATGTAATGGGACGACACGCACTAACCCCGACTTTTCTCTGACCCGACCAGTACACCACTCAGTACACCTTCAGTATTCCTAGATCAATCACACGATGAGCACTTGTTTTTGTGTGGTTTGTGAAGTGACTTCTTTTGTAAAATGTCGCAGGATTTTGACACTAAGAGTTTTATTTATAGCTATTAACGAAAGGCCCTGTTTATGGGATCTAGGCCTATCAGCAGTAGATTATGCCAACAGAGGGATGAACAAGGAAGCTTGGGAGGAGATCACGCTGATGTTTGTTGGACGTGATGACGCTACTAAGAAGGAAAAGTCTCAGTTAACATTGGATGTTCTTCCGCTTAACGTACCTACGATACAAATGCACCACAGCAACTACTTCTTCAACATCCATCTTGACACTGAAGTTGGTAAAACATTCGTTGCATTAGTCGGGTCGTGCTCTGGTCGCATGGTGAACAACAAAGACCGGTCGGGCCTTTGGTTGTGGTCGTGGTTGGGATAGAGTGCGCCGTCTAGGTTCTGGGTTTTGTTAGTTAGCATCGTCTAACATAGGCTTACGCCTGTCAATCAAAAGTACATTTAGTTACTCACTTTACCGATTCCACAGCGAGTAAGCATCTCAGCAGTGACACTTCCAACTCCGCCCACTCCAACTACAGCTACAGTGAAGTCTCGGATCTTCTCATAGTTGTCTACAATACCCATACGTTTTAGGGCCATTAAACGGCTGCAACAAACAAAAGGTATTGTTATGGGTTATCAAATAATTTTTGTTAGGCTATTACATCTATGCAGTAGGCCCTACTGAAACTTCTCATCATATATGAAACATGCTGCCCAATGTTGACAGCTGCTAGTCTAATGAAATTCAATGAACCATTAAATGGATAGGCTACATTTTGGAACTATGTTTAGAGTAGGAGTAACTTAAATCCTTTTTACGTGTGCCTACTTGTATCGTCAGGGTAAAAAAGGCAATAACTTATTATGACCCAAGATGTTTATTATTTACTAAACAAAAGGTCAGAATTTTGACTAAGAATATGAGATACCAGCTACGATCTAGTTGGTTTGCAGGATTCAACTACATCAAACCACCACTTTTATATTTCTTTACTTAAATCGTTTTAAAAATCCAGGGGATAATTTCTGCCTAAGGCCAGACATTCAACAAGACAAAAACTTAGCCAAGTATGAGATTATTTTACCACCAGAATGGTTAACTAACGACCAAAATGGTATATAAGACTTCATGAGGTATTTTTTAAAGTGCTGAGATCAAACTGCTGCCGCACCCTAATATACCTTACTGTTGCTAACCTAGTAATTAACGTCCCGGACTTTGGTGCAAGGAGAATAAGATCGATTCTCGGCACATCCAAAATTATCCATTATACGCCTGCCTTATGTCAAGCGGAAGTCCATGGAATCACATAGGCCTAAGCCTAGGCCTAGTCTAACTTAATACTTTAAACCTCTATGATATGAACTTCCTTTTGAAAGTCATATATATACTGTTGTGATCATAAATGCTACTAACCCCCAAGTATAACCACGAAATTATTCATACTACTTTACACTGTAAACTGTAAAATTCTCTATCCATATGGCTTACCTGTAAGGGTTAGAATCAACAACTTCAGAAGACATTTCAGCAATTTTCTGTCTCGTAGGTTGCACATGTTTTGCTTTTTCGTTAGCCAACTCAGTTTCTAGCTTCTTTATTTTGGCAAGCAATTCTTCGTTTGTAGACATTTTAAAAGTATTCGATTTTCTTTTGTAGCTAAAACAGAACTAGACTAGAACACTACTTCTAACCTCAACACTAACAAATAACAATGTGTGTGACAGACAGCTCCAACTCCAACGTCAACAAGCTCCATCACCATATGTTTTTTGGTACAGACGACAAACGTGTCACAAATACGTGGCAGTTGTACCAGCTGTTATTTTTTTTTTACCTATCAAACGACAATAATTAGGAGCACCATGTAATACAGACATAATAACGTAGCACTGAATTATTTTATACTTTTTCAAACAGTAACTCCAGACTACGTCATATTGTGGTTTAAGGTATACTATATCGAATCTTATCTATAGCTATAACACTCAAATAAGTGTTTATATCGTAAATTATTTGTGTGATTATTCAGATTATCTTAAACAAATCCCTAGCATAATTCAAAATATTTTGACTCTGTCGTGCATTATTACTTTAAATCATACCAATTATTTTTCATTGCATCCGAGACCAATTTATCCACAAACTGAAACGCTATCATAGTGGCAGTGGTTGCATTGTTTACAAGCGCGGCGTTTTGAATTGAGATAAACAGACGCGTAAGTTACAACCTGTTTTCGATATTATCCTATATTTAACAAACCATTCTTTACACTCTTTTCTCCACGATTTTCACATAGTGAGTTTCGCGCATGACTTATTTACTTATGCAGTGTCATATTTGTCATTGGATCCACTTATCAGGCGAGTGGGAGAGGGACAAGTCACGTGACTTCCCCCACCACCACGGAATACCCGGTGTGTTAAAAGCACGAAGACCTACAACCATAATCACAGTGCGCGACGGTCGTAATCCTGCACTTTATACAGTATCGTAGTCGGCCAACTTTCACGTCAAGGTCACCGAGTATAAACAACCATGAGTTGGGGCTACAGCGAAATTGACGGTGAGTCAGACGCTAACACTTGTTTAGTTAATTAAACTTATTGTCTCTGTATGTAATCGTGTTCTAAAAGTACCGGTACTTGTTTCGTTGTTGAATATACCTTGTTGTATTCGTTAAAATAATTCTTACAACTTTTCGCTCTGTAAACATGTAAGTTTTAATCAGATAATAGGTAAAGCAATTTAAGTGCAATCAAGTATTTGTTTACAGTACAAAAAATTAATTGATTAGGTTTATTTTATATAGATTTTCAAAAATTATCATTCACAATCCTATTTTATTGTTCCAAAAGAACTAGTTTCTTTATCAGGAAGCGGTTGCGGCAAAACCTATAATCTTTCGATGAGTTTATTTTTTTAAATTTAGTTTTTCAAAAATATTTAATTTTGAAGTCAAAATAGTTTGACGCTGAATCATTTGGTCAACTTTTAAGTTTACACCATCAAAGTTAAACACTAGATTAAGTGACACGTTTTCAAATACATTTTTCACTTTAAACCAAATAAGTTTTTTAATGAGTAGGATTCTTAAAAACAGTTCTCCAAAAAATTACACAGCATTGCAGAATCTGTTTGAAAGTTACTAATTTCCTATCAATACTCAGGGTGTACTTAATAAGTACAACACATTTTATTAGTCACAGTTAATCTAGAATTCATAGTACTAAATTTATATTCTGCTGACTAACTGCCTTTCCTTATCTAGTAATGTCTTCTCATGCGTTTGGTGACTAACCCATTCGACTTTTACATTAGTTCCAGCTCGTAATTTTGTTAGAATCACAATCACACTAAAACATGAAACTAGAGGAGAGTTTTTTATCAAGATGTTTCGCAGCGTCTTCGGGTTACAAAAAAATAAACATGTAGACCCTACTGGTTTAGTTCCGTATAAGAATCCAACGATCCCATTAGGATTGTATTTTCTTCATTTGAAAAAAGTTATAATGGTAGCTATTAATAAAATAATAAAACTTGTATAGACACGCCGACACACTTTTACACCATAAAGGTTGTAGTTCTAAAAAGGTGTAAGCTCAATTAGCTTAATGCCCATTGTACAAGTCAAATTTCTAAGCTTATTTTTGACATATCTTAACGAACATAAAATATGCACCTGTATTAAAATTATTTTCCATCAGCATATTTCTTAATTTTTTTTCATAACCATAGGTATATATTTGACTTTATAGTGCAGTAACTACAGTATATGAAAACTTGTAATGTAAAAATGTATATGTGCCAAAATTATTATTGGATAAATTTGGCCAGAATCGGTGTTTTGACGCTAAAAGTATCTACACATGCTTAACCAGAAAACATAGTCTTTTGAATATATTTAAAGTAAAAAGTTATTAAAATTAAATGTATTAAATTTAAAAAGTTACAGTTTTGTTTTAAGTAAAGTTTGAACTATACAAATACACATGTTGGTCAGGAGGCACATAAGTGAAGATGTCGGCCTAACTACACTTTTCCGTGGGGTGAGCATTTTCCGGTAACAATTGGGGTTGGATTAGGTCATCGTCTTCTTATCACCCCTTCTGTCATCTTAAACCAGATGTCAACAAAACGCACAATGCTAATGTTTTGCAAAGATTGAAATTAAATTCTTTTTAACATTTTTTCTTGTATTTTTATTGTAATAGTTACGGTATGTATGAGCTTTTAAGTTGGTTTTAGCATAAAATAACTAAAGTGTTCGTTTATCTTAAAACCTTTAATATATTTTCCAAAATTGTTATTTTTTAATTGTTCATAACAGTGTTACATTTTATTCATCTATTGCATATTAATATTTTTTTCTATGGTAATTTTTAAAGTCTAATTTGGTTATTTTTGCATATGTAATAATAAAATGTAAAACACTAAAAAAATTTAAAAACATCGAAGAATTAATAATTTTTACAAATAAAGAAAAGTAGGTAGTCGTACAGAGCGTAAACAATACACAAATTTGAAAATGTCTACTTCCAATAAAAAAAAAAGTCTCATGTATCAGTGATTCTCAAGAAGTTCTCTTGCTTGGTTTCTTGATTAATCCATCAAGAATGTGTAAAATACATTTGAGATACTTTGTATTCAATAATATAATCGATGTTCCCATTAGGATTAACGATATAAACACATCGTTGATTAGGATGTGATTATCATAGGAGTTGACTTTTTATTATAGACAAATTTGACGTCATATATGTCTAAAATGTTTATATACCAATATTAATTTAATTTTTATGTTTATTCAGGTAAAAATATTAGGTAATGAATCACTGAATTACGCAAAACACATTCAATTATTGTAAATTGAAACTTGCACATGAAATAAAACAACAACTTTGATAGTAAACAGCGATTAATTTGCTATACATTGAATGTATTTTTTATTCTTCCACAGACGGAAAGACTAAAAGAATTACATGAGTTGAAAACAATCCCCCAGTTGTCGGGTTTCTCGTCTAGGTGGCATAACCCTTCCATCAATACTGTGTCATAACATCTTATCATTGCATCTTCTTATCAGTCTATTTTCGTGTCAAACCCAGTTGATAAGACGAATGGGTCTTATCTCTAAGGTGATTAAAGTATTTGTCTTTGGAATGTTGAAGGCATATTAACCTTAAGAATACAATTTGGAAATATTTAATGGATTGTTTCTGGTTGGGTTTTTCTTGTAATATTTTTCAAATATAGGCTTACATTATACAGTATCGTCGATTTCCTTTGTGCTACGCTAAACGATTACTAAAATATGCGTTTTACAATACGCAATTATTGAAGTTCCGGATCTTAACCGAACCTAACTCTACACAGTTTTGTATTAATAATTATAAAATGTTGATACAAAAGAACATGGTGGTTGTCGGGGTTGTACCCGGTGGCAAGTGGCGGGGGCACCCCAGAATTTGAAAACATACACATTTCATTTATAACCCCCAAAGGATGTGACCCCCCGCCAGTCAGCCCCCCCCCTAAACTCTATCCCTGGTTGTGCCCCTGGTGGTAGTCGTATTACGAAAAAGGTTTACTAAAATTAATTAATTATTAATTTATTAGCAGACCTAATTTACCTGCAAAACTTTTATAATAATTCACAGATGAATTGACATTTGCTTCGATTGAAAATCGTGTCGTTAGTATTAAGCCCATTGTTAAAAATACGACTAAAACACTTCACCTTCACGTATGGTGATAAATTTAGCTATTGGAATCGTACAAAATATTTTGTATAGTTGACTGGATTGAAACTACATAACTGAAATTGCATTTTCTTATCGAGAGAATGTCTTAATTGCATTTCGTGACTAACCTATTAGGTTTCACGTTAGTTTTAGCTCGTAAAACTATTATGCACACATTAAACCTTCAAACTAGGCGTGGTGACTGATAAAGTGTTATGCAGCAATTTCCCCATTAGTCACTAACCAATAAAAATAATAATGACAAATATGTTTGTCGTGCTTATTTTCTACATATAACTTATCTTAAACTATCTTGAGCAAAACTGATGTTGAGTCAATAGTTTCGTGAATAAGCCGCGTTGTTTTTATAATGGATTATTTTCAATTTGAAGTTTGCTTCACGCCATAGTCCAGTTATAGGGTTATGAAATATTGAGTAGGTTTGATTTTGTTTCTATAAATCCATTAGTGTTGGATATCGCACTAATACTATTTTGTGCATGTACGACGTCTAATAGTTATTAATTTATTTATATGGTTCATCTGGGAGTGGTTTCGTTCAATATACAGGGTGTCCACAAAATAACTGAAACATTTTAAAGGTCAATATTGATTCAAAATAAAAGACTATGTTTAGTGTTTAATATATACAGGGTGAATAACAAGTCAAGACCCCCCCTCTAATATTTTTCTAAGTACTGTAAATATACAGAGATATACTTTTGGTGGTCTTGCAATCTTAGCAGGAAGTTTCATTTTATGATTTTGAAATTTTGATCGTCCCCCAAAAAGGGATTTTGGGGGCAACTCAATTTTTTTTTATGTAAATCCTCTTTAAAAGATCCTTAATTTTAAGTGTTTACAAAAACTTAAAGAATGGTGGAAACCAGAGTTCGCTATCTCTTCTCTTTCCAAAATGGTAGCCCGTCAAAAGTTTAATTACGTTACTGTTACATTAATTTTCTTGTGTAATAAAAAGTAATTTCCCTCCCTCTAATGTGTTCCTAAGTAAATATTATAGAGTAATCCCTTTGGTGGTCATACAACCTTAGCAGGAAGTCTCATTTTATGATTTTAAAATTGTTGAGTGTCCCCCAAAAAAGGGGATTTTGGGGTCAACTCAAAAATTTTAAATGTAAACCCCCTTCAAATGACACCTCATTTTAAAGTGTTAACAAAAACTTGAATGGTGAACAAAGAGTTCGCTATTTCATCTTTATCAATGGTAATATTGGTTCGTAATTGTAATATTAAAAATTTCAAAATCATAAAATGAAACTTTCTGCTAAGATTGCACGACCACCAAAAGGATATCTCTGTATATTTATTTAGAAAAAAATTAGAGAGGGGGGGTCTTGACTTTTTATTCACCCTGTATATTTAAAGCTGAAATTCTCAAGTTTTATTAGAAACGTTGATTGTATAACTCGATATGAGCACCATTAACAAGCAGGGGCATTAACAGGGGCATTATGAGGGCATTAACAACCAATTGATTTGTTTACATTTTTTTTAAATTTTGGACGATATTATATTTTTTTAACAGTTAGCATCCCAGGCATTTATTTTGTTTGTTTTTAATATTACAAAAACAACCCTTTGAAAAGATTCTAGCGAAATGCTATTTTTATCACTATCTACTGCTGTTTACCCAATTTAAATGTAGACTCTTTTACATAATTGATTCCTCATCCTTATTGACCAGTTAAAGACATTTTTCTTGACCGCTTTATGTATGGGAAAAAGTTTTGTCTGTCTTCTTATTAATGAGGGAATTTGAAATTTTGACATCGACCATAAAATAAAAGATGAAACTTTGGTC